TAATAAGGCAGTACTGTAGTTTGGTTTTCTTGTTAAAGGAGTTATCACAGCGTTATAATAAGGCAGTACTGTAGTTTGGTTTTCTTGTTAAAGGAGTTATCACAGCGTTATAATAAGGCAGTACTGTAGTTTGGTTTTCTTGTTAAAGGAGTTATCACAGCGTTATAATAAGGCAGTACTGTAGTTTGGTTTTCTTGTTAAAGGAGTTATCACAACGTTATAATAAGGCAGTACTGTAGTTTGGTTTTTTGTTAAAGGAGTTATCACAACGTTATAATAAGGCAGTACTGTAGTTTGGTTTTTTGTTAAGCGCCAAGCTACAACAAAGTAGTTATCTGTGCTGTGCCCACCATGAGTATTGTAACCCGAGTTATCGGGAGGCAGGTAGTTTGACAAATGCTAATTTGATTATTATTTTCATCACCAGAAAAGTTGTTCTTGCACACCAAGTGTAGTCAGGTTACATGGAAAGGATGGAACATCGTGCATGTGTGAGTTTGAAGAAGGAAACGGTAAGTGTGTTTTCTAACCAGATCGTTCGATATTTCGTTTTGAAAACGTACAAATAAACACTGTAAATTACAATTTTTTTATAGCACTCGCGTGTTTAGAGATGAATAGCAGTTACTTTTTTTTATACTTTTGTGGTATTAATACATTTACTTTTACAACATATTTTTTTTTAGGTTTAAGTGGGAACATAGTCATATGCCATCGTACCTTCAAAATTCAGTTTATAATATTACTTATTACTAAAAGTACATTTCATTGGTATATACTGGCTCGCATTAAAACTGTCGTGGAAGTATTATAGAAGAATATAAGTGTGTGTGTGTGTGTGTGGTGGGGGATTTCAGACTAAAGCAAAAGGGACAAACAATCAATAGATTTAAATAAATTTCTAGATTTATCAAGTCCTTCTAGTTGTTCCTGTTATTGTACAGGAGGGATATCCCACACACGACCTTCAGTGATAGATCCTTAATCCACAGAAATTTGTGACTTCCCTCTTTAGAAAGTGAACTTTATCTTTTTCTATCTGAACTTCAATTATTTTCGTTTCAACATAGAATACCATTACATGGACTTCTTTAGCCATTGTTTCAACCGAGGACACGGTACTTGGACTTCCTCAGCCTTTTTTTTTCCGAAACATGTGGCTGTTTTAATAATGTTGGTTTTTGCCAGAGGCTTCGCTAGGCACTGGCATACGAGGCCCGTGCCACGAATCCCCAGATGGTGTCTTGAAAAAAAAACATGATCGATATCATACTGAAACGCCCAAAATTCTCGCGCTTCTGGCAGTGTCGGAGTCTAGCTTGATCACTGTACACTTTGATTTACGGAAAAGGACTATACTGATGTTCATGTATTACTGCATATGTCTAGTTTAGAGAGAGAGGGAATCCAGTGGTTAAGCACAGTTTATTGGATTATATCCAGGAACAATGGGTTTATCTCTGGAATATATATATATATATATATATATATATATATATATATGGACTGTGGGTTTATCTTTGAAATAAGTCCAGAAACTCTGGGCTTATTTTTGTTATATATCTAGGAACTGTGGGTTTTTCTCTGGAATGTATTCAGGAACTGTTGGTTTATTTTCGAGTTACATCCAAGAAAGATGAAAGTGGGCTTATCCCTGAAATATAAGGAAATTTGAATTTATCTTTTAGTTACATCCAAGAAGGAGGCAGTGGGTTTATTTCTGGACTATATTCAGGGTCTGTGGGTTTATCTGTTCACCTCTAATATTTGTTCTATTTATAGCTGACATTTACTTACGATATTGTTAGGTATTTTCAACATTTTGTGAGTAATGTATATAAAACAAGTTTGTCATATTTGTCATAGGTGGCCTGTGATTTACGCAAAAGTTAAGTTAATTTACACAATTTCCCCAAAAACTTAAAAACACTAAACCTAAACATTTAATTAAAATGGGATTACTATAAACGAAGAGTAAAAATGTTCAATCATCAAGAATTTGTTTTCTAAAAAGTTAGTAGTAGAGATTTCGCCATTAAAAATCTTGATATATAAAGATAGAAAATGTCCACGAGAAACTTGGAGATCAATTCGAATACTCTGCTTCGTTTGTTGTTTGCAGTTCATGCCCTAGTTTACCCAAATCTTATCCTGAGAGGGCACGACATTGAAATCGTTCCCAACGTGATAAGCTTGGAAGAATGCATCTGGCTCTGTGCTAAAGACAGCCGTTGTAAGTCTGCTCGGGTGAACATGTGGGGAGGAACCTGGCAGTGCTACATGAAGAATAATAACCACGAGGATTCACCCGACGACTTTGGAGGGGTGAACATGGGCCTTTATTTCTACCTGGTTGGCCGATAATAGTTAATCAAAGCTTTTGAAAAGGACTTTAACCAATAAACGGTTACAGAAACACTGGTGTGTGTGTGTGTGTGTGTGTAGTTGTATCTGACGTCACCATATACATCATCATACTGATCTTGCCTAATTTCCTCAAACATACTCGGAAATATATCGTAAAATGCTTCCAACATATATTCATCACCACTGATGACCAATGGTCAGTCATGAGAAAACTGTCAGGGAAATATTTTCAAAAGAAACTTTTGCAACTAAATCATTTTAGTGTCTCAGTTGCACTAAGACAACTACTGTAAACAGATATTTAAATCTAAGTTGTTACATATTATGGTTTGCTTTAGAATTTTCTCGCAAAGCTACACAAGTTTTATCTGCTGATGGATGTCTCTAGTTTTGAACTCCTGGACGAGTGGGATGGCATTTGGTTAAAAGAATCCTTTTGCCAAATCATATCTAACCAAATGGTGGTATTTGACAGTCACTCTTATAAATCACCCACAAACCCAAAGTACAGAGCACATCATAAATCGTAGGATTCATAGTACAGACATACTAAACACCAGGCCACGCCTGGTCCTATACAATAAAGAATAAGATTTGTGTAAAATTTGGTTTTCTTTGAACCAAATCTATTAATGCATGATAACAAAACTGATTAGTTGATACAATAATTTACAAAAAATGTAGATTTATTGTAGAATCTGTGGATTTAAAATATTGTTTATAACAGGCACATGTACTTGTAAAGTTGTCAGTGTGTAAGTTCAGAAAATGTTCTACTTCGAAATATTTATGTCAATCAACAACGTGGTAAACATAACTTCAATCTACAAAAAATCACAAGACCAAATTTGTCTGAATGTGACATGTTTTTCATTGATCAACAACAACAAAAAGGACAATGACTTCAGAAGAAATAAATATTACCAACATAAGAATATTAACACAGGTGTAGCTTTTAAATGTGTTAACGTAAGTTTTTTTTTATTTGGATTTTCTGTTGAGTGAATTTATAATCTTAAACATTTTTGGCAATGTTACACTCATAAAACTTCCTAAAGACCCTGTGAAGAACAAAACCATCATTTACAATATTCTCTGTTCTAAAGATCCAGTGAAGAACAAAACCAACATTTACAATATTCCCTGTCCTAAAGACTCGCTGAAGAACAAAACCAACATTTACAACATCCCTTGTCTTAAAGATCCACTGAACAAAAAATCTACCATTTACAATATTGCCTTGTCTTAAAGATCCACTGAAGACTGAAACTACCATAGTAGTTAGGGTACAGATTGCGCGCCTCGCCGTTAGAGGGTGCCACTAACACTCGTGTGTGTTGGTCTCAGGTGCTAAGGGGATTATGATGTCTGAAATAATTAAACTGAATTTTTTGAATAATTGTTTGCTATCATATATAAACTATATATAATTTTACATACTCAGTTGAAATAGACAATTTGTATGAAAGCTAATCCAATAAAATTATAAATTATTACGTTTATAGTACATTAAGTTTTCTCAAGGATGTATCATGGTATATTGAGTTATAAGAACACTGAATTGTATAATTCGTGTTACAGAAAATTTGGGAAATAATCACTTGATATATAATTGAAGGTGTACATTTGGAAAGGTTTCAATGAAAGATATGAAAATATAATTTCTGGTTTATAGAAACTTAAATGTTACTTGGTACAGACAAACACAAGGTAAAATTTGTCATGAGTAATAAATGACCGCATGGCGACCTCCTAACAAATGGCTGTCTTGATGTCAGCATCCACACCATTTGTATGAGTGACAATGTGACAACCTACTAACAAACAGTGGTCTTGACGTCAGACAGTTTCAAGGTCTATTGAAGAAGAATTTTTAATTGTATGGAATTTCATGTAAATGGTAGTTATTGCTATTATAAATAATAGTAAAGTCAAACAGTAAGTCGGAGTTTTGATGCAAGGTTATCCATTTTGAAAGTCTTGTATCAAGGGCATCATTGTACTGAAATATGAGAAAAATTATTTTTTTCAAAATTTGGGCAAAAACACTGTTCCAGCGAAAATATGAATTTTTTTTTTGAAAAATGTAAAAAAGTGCTTTTTTGACATAAAATTAATAGATAAATATCGGATAGTGCTTATTTCCACGGAAAACTCAAAATTGAGATATTATGACCCGTGAAAAACTAAAAAGAATTGAACTTTGGCTAACCCAGAGTAAAAACAATCTAAAGGTGGAGTTTATTTTATAAGAAGACGTCATGGCCTTTTAGATGTTCATATTTTGTTTGAATAATCTTATTTTTAAAGCTGTTCTTTTTTTACAATATAACTGAAGACAAAAAACCCCGGTAAAATCGAAGATAGCCGAAATTTTCATAACAGATTATGAAATAACTATTGGGAGTTTTGATGAAAGGATATGCATTTTGAAAGTCTTATACCAAACCCATCCTTGTATTGAAATATGAGGAAAAACAATTTTTTTCTTCAAAATTTCGAAAAAAAACAACAAAAAAACAAAACATGGGCTATAATAGCCTTGGCTGTTTCGGCGAAAATATGAATTTTTTTGAAAAATTAAAAAGTTCTTCTTTGACGCAAAATTACTAGAAAAATATCACATAGTGCTTATTTCGTTGGAAAACTCAAAACTGAAATATAATAGCATTGAAGAAAAATATTATGACCCTTGAAAAACTAAAAAGAATTGAATTTTGCTAACCCAGAGTAAAAATGTAATGAGTAGCACTCTGGTGGCCATAATTGTTGGAGTTTCAATTAAAACTACTTGTTACACCAAATTTATTTATTGGAAGATTTGTTGTGACGAGTGGAGCCACAAGCCGTTAACTAGAGGTAGCTTACAGTTAGACTAAAGAATTAGTCTCAGGCCAATAGTGAACACTTACAATAACTTTTATTAATCATTAATTCATCTAACTAACAGTTAATAAAGACAAAACTTCGTTTATGACTAACAAACATAAAATGGACTTTAACTCGATTAAAATACTTGTAATATCTTCAGTATACACTTTCATTAATACACATAGATATATTTCAACATAACATTTTATAAAACATTGGTATTAACTGACTGAGAGAGGATAGTAAAGTTTACTTATAATGGTGTTGTATTCGGAAATCGAATAACATTAGAAACCTTCAGGTTGCCCAAGAGAGTGACTTTTCCAGCTTCCAGAGGAACTCTTTCTGAATTCCGGAGAACTGACATTTCAGTCTCCGACATGGGTTTATAAAGCAAATTTTCTGTGTATTATCTCGATCATCTAAATAGGACACAGCATCACCTGCAAGTAGTCCTGTGATCCTATTGGACACTTTAGGGGAATCCCTGGGCTATTTACTTGTACTGCTACACCCATGTGCTGTGAGTAATATTGCCTCAAAGTGCCGATATTGCTCGCTAAACCAAACTCTTCTGTAGCTTTCCTAGTTCTAAAGGGTTGAGGTCAAACTGTCACAAGTTCTAGTACACTCATCTCGTTTCTAGGCAATGCTTCTTACATAGCTTAACCTTGTTTTTCTAGATCATCCACGTTTCTTAATTGTTTACAAAAACGTTGAAGCAATTGTAAATTCCCTCGAAAAAAACCCAATTGCTTCACTCCTCCTCCCTTAGAAAAATTTTATCATCTAACCATTGTCTTTACTTCTCTCTCTCAATCAATGAACACTTACATCATAGATAGATACATCCAAATACTACCTCTGTTAAACACAGCTATATGGTTATACAATACATATTAGATTATCATAATACAAAGTGGTTAATATATTTAGAGAAATAACATTCCAATAACTCTCAAGAGGAATACACAAATTAATGATCTAAACAACTATAAGTGTCATTTATAAATTTCAACAGAAGTTCTGGAAGGTGTTCCAGTCACAGTAGGTAATCACTCATACAGTGTGCACACCTTCCAGTATGCGCAGTGTTTATGTAGCTACTGATGGTAATTGCAAAACAGCCTTCCAGGACAGTCTAAATGTCGATATGCTGGACAACCGTATTCCACAAGGTCGATACACTGGATCCTCAGTTGATGTTGTAGTGTCCTAGCCTTCTCCCTTTCTTTGGTGTAAATCTTTACGTAATCTTCACAGTTCTTAATATAAAGGAGATCCATAAACGAGTGATCTCCATCCCTCCATCGAATATCGTGTAAGTACGTCGTACACCAATCAATGTGTCGGCGATATTCCATACTTAGGTGATCTTCCAGAAATGGTGGTCAAGAACAAAACACATCGGTCCACCCGGAATGGCAATCCTTGATAGCTAGTTCTTTAATCCAGTAGTTCCCGTTCACCTAGAAACCTTCTACTTCTATTATTGCTACTCTTTGTCCTTGTTGCCTATGGTCATAAAGCATTATTACTGATTGTTCTTGTGAAGACCATTTAGTCACGCCACTTGATCCATTCTCATCTCGATAACACATTTGTATATTCACTCACACACCACATAACCCATGCACTTTCTCAGGCACTTCATTCAAATCACAAACACTGGCAATCTGTCCTTTGTTGATAAAAGTTTCTGTCCTTCCACATAGCTTATTTCTGGACTCGCTGTTACTGTCTGACTGTCTGTTTTCATCATTTGGTTTTTTCGTCACTTTGTTTATTTCTTACTTCTGGTCACTGTCTATTAATTTCTGTCATTTCTCGAACTTTTTCTATACCTAATAATTTTGCCTATCAATTTTGACTATTAACATTATTTGATAATCAACTATCCTCGCCAGTTGGTTATATCTAATCAATTTTGTAATCATCTAAATAATCAAGCTATACCCTGATTAGATGGGGCCTACTCATTCTGGTCTACTATTTCAGTAGCTTCTGAATATTCAGACAAATCATTATTGCCTGATCTTGTTCTTTTCTTCTGTCTAGCTTTACATAGCCCATCTAATGCCATTAACTTTAATAAAGCCAATTCATCTATTTTGATATACAACATTATGCTTACTAGTATTACTACTAAACATAAGGTTATCATCACTGAGTTTCCAGCTGT